GGACGAGTCGAGTACGCCCCATCTAATAAGCGACGCCGTGGCTTTTTTTACGACACTCCTTGATTCCATCGTGGACTGAGTAAAGAGGCTTCCAATTATTCCTACATGTAACGTCAAGTCGTTCCATAAGTTCCGTCGATTTTTTAGGTGAATTTCAACGTTAGGTCATCCTGTATATATATCAAATACATAAACTTCAACGTTAGGTCATCCTGTATATATATCAAATACATAAACTTCAACGTTAGGTCATTCTAATAATTTCGTCGATTTCATAGGTGAACTTCAATATTAGGTAATTATAACGTTTTTTTTTTTATTTGTCCTAGACTAGAATCAAAGATACGTATTTTCTTTGAGAAATTAAATTTTATAAGCATCCCTTTCTTCCTTAGGGCCTCCGCGCTCACATGCTGAAGTTTCGAATGATTTAGTTTCCCCATTTTGTAAAAAGTTTGATCAATATTTTAACGTTTTGACATATATACATTGACCCTTTCGTAATAATTTAAAGCTCATGGAACGTGCGTGCGCTCAGCCAAGGAAAATAGTCATGTGAGGTTATGTTCGAACGATATGCCTTCCTCCATCGCAGCGCCAAGCGGTGGCAACTCAAGAAACTAAAAATGGTATCCACAAGCAATTACCCCTGATAGAAAATTTCGAGTCTCAAGATCCGTTGTGTGTACTTCTTTTATCTTATCACGCCCAGCAATCACCCCTAACCGGAAATTGTGAGTCTCAAGATCCGCGTGAACGACTTTTATCTCATGACCGAAGGGAATTGCGGAGTCCTCGAATGCTACGAAATCGAAGGCCCCATGATCGCGGGCAGAAAAGGCAGTAAAAGAGGAGATTTAAGACGGCCCGACAAGGCGGTGGGATCGGAGCGGATTCCGAAACTGGGAACGGAATCGAAGCCGAACTGGAACGCGAACGAAAAATCGTCGAAGTAGGTCCTGATAGGTCGCGGCCGCTAATAAAGAGACGAACGCCTTCTCGCCGGCACGAGGGAACCATAAAAGTTGGCTCTTGGTTCACCGAGATTTAAGGCTCGAACGAAGTCAGGAGCCGTTGCCATAATCACTTGCTCAAGATGATCCAGTTGTTCTCCAGGATCCACCGAGTCCCCTATTTAGTTTCCCCGTTAAGTCGGCCCAATCGCGGCCAGCTCTTCCGTGATTAACCCTTTTGCAACCTCGAAACCGAGGGTACCGTATCATTACAGAGGTGAGCACTTTCGAGAGTTCCGAAATTGGTCAATCTCGAAGCCCGAGCTTGCGCCGTTCCCTGCTTTTACCCGTTCCCCGAAGGATTAACGTAATCCCGCAAGACGCGAAGCACTAATGAGGAAACGACGTAATTCCTCCTCGGATTTCACCCGAGTCGGTAAAAAGCGAAAAAAAAGAGAAAAAAAGTCACCGTAGCCGGGACGCGAACCCTCCACCCTGGGGAACGCCGATTTTTCAGACGTCGCGCAGGGTCGGTATATTCCCACTTTCTCGAGAATTTATATTCGACGGACGATCGAGCGCTCTGATTGGGTAATCCCGATAAACGTGTATTCTCATTGGTCTGCCACGATAAATTATTTCGCCGGGAAATTTATGCAAAGTTAAAGGTGGGAATACCGGCCCCCGGCGAGGAGCTTACACGGCGGAATGATTTCCCATGTCGGAGTGCCACCTATATTCCCTGCCTGATATCCCGTACACCCTGATACCCGGGTATCTCTATATTCAAACACTCTGATACCGGACTGCCAATGAGACAAATCCCTCCGTTTAGACTCAGTTACGGTATCACTTATACTTGTGGGCATGTGACAAATCAAGACACGCGCAGCATTAATTCCCTCCGATCCGAGACCGGTCGGTATTTAGCGCGGACGTTTGACAAAATCGAGCGATTTTATCTGGCGATAATTTCGCGCAAAGTCAAATTGCCTTCGTTACTAGACAGTCGTCACGATCGAATGGGTTTCACTCTGCAAAAACCAGAGTTTTAAATGCCATGTTAAAATTTCAGCTTGAAATACCTATTTGTTCCTAACTTACGATGTTAACGTGTAGAAAAGGGTTATTAAGACACGGTGATTTCAAATTCAAATACATTTGAGTACATTTACCATCAAAATGAAAAGGAAAGGAAAGAAATTTTTTTATTTTTCAGACGTTTCATTTATCGCTACAACCATCCGTGAATTTCGACCCAGAGGTAGAAGCGTATTAGATCCTTCTTAATATTTCTACAACTGAAACGAAAAGATAAATTTTTTATTTTCAGACATTCTACAATTTCAGACATTTTATGTACCGCTGCAACTAATTGAAAACTCCAGGGCAGGATAATGATGTACACAGCCCTCCTCGATGTTTCTACAACCAAAACGAAAACAGTCAATTTCGTTTTTTTCAGACATTTCATGTATCATTGTAACCAATCGAAAATCGTAGCCTAGTGTAGGAATGTACATGGTCTTCCTCGATGTATCTAAAACCGAAACGAAAATATAGATTCTTTTATTTTCAAACATTTTTTACTCACTTTTATTATTATGCGCCTTTATTTTCAGACATTTTTATTTTCGACCATTTCTCAGACACGTTACATATTCCGATATTTTACCCTTTCGGGCATTTTACATTTTCAGACATTATGCGTTTTCAAGCATTTACCATTTTCCGACATTTCACATATTCGGACATTTCCCGTATCGCTGTGCCCAATCGGATACCCCAGCCCAGGGTTGGAATGTACACGATCGCCTCCACGGCGTGGCTTTCCGACCTGGTCTGATCTTCGTCGAGAGGCGCAGCGTAGGTGTGCAGTAAGTAGCTGCAGCTCACGGAGAGGGAGCAGGTTCACGTGCAAATATTTTCCTTCGCGGGCGCAACTATGATCTCATCGGACCCGGTCGTCCCGTCGTCTCTCGGAGCTCGCCTCGGCGAATCCCTGGGAACGCCCCGAGAGACCGGTAACCGTGTTAGGAGGATCGCGAGACGAGGTTGCGCAACACCAGCCGTAGCAGAGATGCACGAGGATGTCGGGATGCGAGAACGTGGGGCCTCGCGCGATGCGCGCGTCCCACTGAGCCATCGTGAGAGGATGCTGCCGAATCCGAGTGCGGGAATCGAGCCCTGCCACCTCTTGACCCCAGGAAGTGCCGACCACCACTAAGGGCGTAGGACGTGGTCGGTGAAATACTGCTCCGAGACTTCTACGACTCCGACATTGCGTAAGGTGAAATAAATCCTGCTCCTAGATTATCGAAATATATACTTGCGTCTGACACAAACGACTTGATTTCATTTCTCCGCTGAAAGGCTCCATCAGCAGTTCCTCGTGTGACGTGGTAAGGGTCACCCGGCAAAGAAAATCCAAAGTAAGGCTCGAATATTCGATGGGTCCATCTGGGAATTCAGGAGATTCGGGTCGTAGGTTACTTTGAAAATTAGGGTGTACGTTTCAAAGGGATTTTGTGGATTGGAGCAAAGCTGGGAAAAGAGGATTTAGTCAGAGAAGCCAGGACCAAGGGATCAACAGCAATGTGGGGAATCTATGGCAAGACTTATGATAATCACCCTCTGTGAATTTTAGGATATATATGTAGACTTTTTAGTAGGTTTAAGGTGATATGAAACTGTGATATATACGTACCAAAAAGTCAAAATATTGATGAAACTTTTCTCCAAATTGGGTGCACCGAATTATCTGAAATTTTAACAAGTGATTATGGAGGCCCTAAGGAATAACGCGCTGCTAGTCAAATTTCTTTTATCGGAAAACAATGTTGTACTTATCTCGGACAAGAACCAAATAAAGATACTTTTTTTGTCGAAAAATGAAATTTCACGGGCTGCGCGTTCTTCCTTAGAGCCTCCATAATCACGTGTTAAAGTTATAGATAATTTAGTGCACCCAGTTTGGAGAAAAGTTTCATAAATATTTTGACTTTTTGGTATGTATGTATCACACTTTCATATCACCTTAAGGGATCGAAACAAACCTGAGAAACAGGGATAAGGTCGAGGGATCATCAGGCAGAAGTGTGGAAAATCCAGAGCTGACAACAATTTCACCCTGTGAATCTCCAGATACTATCCACGTCCTTAATCTTCATTTTAAAAATTAAGGTGTCAATTTTTAGTGGTTTTAGGGAGTTGGTATAAACCTGGAAAAAACGAATAAAATGATCGGATCGTCAAGCAGCAGGATGAAATATCCTAGATACTGCCCCTAAATCACCCTCTGTAAATCTCCACCGACAACCCACGTCTCAAGTCCTAATTTCGAATATCAGGAAGTAAATGTCCAACTGCTTCACAGGATTGGCGCACACCAGAGGAAAATTAATAAAGTCGACAAATCTTCAATCAGAATCGTGTAAAATTCCAGATATGGCTCCTGGATCAAACAATCATCATTTTCTACTAATCTCCAGCATTAACCCACATCTCAAGTTCTAATTTTGAAAACCTGGGAGTAAATTTTCCTTGGTTTTAGGAGATTAGCTTAAACTCAGGGAGAAGCGAATAAAATCGACGAATCTTCAATCAGAATCGTGGAAAATCCCAGACAAGGTCCCTGGATCAAACAACGATCACCCTCTGCTAATCTCCAACAACAACTCACATCTCAAGTTCTAATTTCGAAAAGCAGGGAGTAAATTTTCCTCGGTTTCAGGAGATTGGCTTAAACCCAGGGAAAGCGGATAAGGTCTCGGGATCGCCGGGCGGCGGCCTCGGGCCCTGCCGAGCGCGAATTAGCGTCTGGGAGTCGTCGCGGCGAAGGAGAGCAGCGAATGCCAATGGTGGGAGTCGTCCGAGGCAGGGAGGAGTAGAGCAGAGCGGAGCAGAGAGCAGAGCAGAGGTGCACCGACTCCGATATGGTCCAGGGAGGTAGGTAGAGGTAGGTAGAGGTAGGCAGAGGCAGGCAGAGGTAGGCAGAGCGAGGCCGAGCAGAGGGAGGGCAGGTCGCGTGCCGGCGTGGTGCTACTCCCGGTCCCGGACAGTGTTACAACGGCCGCGCGCGGTTAATCCGCCGCTACGTTCGCGCGGCAGTTCGCGCCGGCTGAGAGACGTATACCTACACGGCCAACCTACCGACCTACCTACCTACCAACCAACCTACGGTTCCCTCGTCCCCCATCCGGGATCCTCGGCTCCCTCCCCGGGCGGCGTGTCTCCGTCGATTCTTCCGTCGTCGCCCGTCTCTCTCTCTCTTTTTCTCTCTCCTTCTCTCTCGCGCGCGAGGATCGCCGATCCGCGCCACAGTCGATGCCCGACTCGCTCGCTCGCTCTTACTCACCACCGCGGGTCGACGGCGCACACCGGCGCCCGACACCGGGATTAAAGGCCCATGCCGCAAGCGGGAGTCGCGACGGACTCGTCCCTTTCCGGGCCTCGCCGACCCTGACGGTGCGGACCGACCGTCTTCGACGAGCACCGCCACTCGTCTCGGCCTTACCTGGGCCTCCACGCGCCTGACGGAGCGGTCCGACCGCCCGAGCCGAGCGCCACCACTCGACTGCCGTCGCACCCGCATCGCTACAGGGTGACCCGTCGCGCCTGACGCAGCCGGGGTTGCCGCCCTTGCGCAGTGCTCGTGCGCAGTGGACCCGCGTCGCCGCCCAGCCTGACGGCGGCCGAGCCGCCGACGTCGAGCCTGCCGCCGGGCGCGCAGCCTGACCGCGATCGTCGCCGACCACGTGGCCTCGCGCCGCCCTAGGATGCTCACGCGGACGTTTCGATAGGGGAACTTTCGCAAGGAAATCGACCAGAACCCCCGCGCTACTCGCGAAGTGAGTGCTGTGACGAAGGACCTAAGTTGTTAAACAGTGCGACGAAGACTGTTGAACGGACTGTCGCGCGATCTGCTCGTTAAATCTACGTGAGCTTGAGTGAGCGACCTCGTTAAGGGTGTGGAATGACAGAGAAGGTAAGTCGGGCCTGAGTTGTCTTCTTAAAAGCTTTTTGCCATTTTCAAACTCCCTATAATCAGACTCACGGTTTGGTAAGGTAATTCTCGAATTCAAAAATATGGAACGGGTATATGGATAAATCTGCACGGTTTTATTTAGGTGTTTCGGGCAGGCATGATTTTATTTAAAATGTTTAAATGAGGATACATTTATTTTGTTGGTGGGGCGAATTTGTGGTGACCAACCCGCCCTCCCGCGTCGAATTTCTCGCGAGAGATGAGCACGTGGCTTCGTTAATTAAAACCTTCGACTATCGCCGCTCGAGAGCGTCGAGTACTCGGCAATAACCAGTCACTTACCGGCAAACCAGTTCCTAACCTTTGCCTCTCGCACTTAACCCCCGCTGAGCAGAAATAAGTGCTCCCACGCTCCTCCCTGATACTACCGAATACTTCGATACTCGTTGCTCTTACCGAGGCGTGCGCTCGCTCGGCGACCGCGAGAAAGCCCGAGAGGGAGAGAGAAACTCACGTGTGATATATGTATTTCACGGAGATCCTACGCGATTTCCGCGAAGGATCGACATAAATTTACCTCTCGATCCCCTTTCCGTTCCCGCGCCTCGACCCTCGGCGAGTATTTTCCTGCCCGAGGCGCTCGAAAATTCGCGTATCCCCGAAAATCGAATAAATGTATTAAAAATATAAATTAAAAAAATAATCACAATTTTGAAAACCAGTATGAACGGGTTTAAGTGCGAAGAATTTACTATAAAATGACATATGCTTCATTACTTTCAGTCGTATTCAGATATTTATTACTTAATTTATCGAGAAAGATGGATATTGTTGGTATCGAAAATCGCCCCGACAATCCTCTATTATCCCTGAAAACAGGTTAAATACAGTAGAAATGCAAGAATAAAAAATAATTACACTTTTTAAACCAGTATAAACGGGTTCAGGTGCGAGAAATTGACTGTAAAGCGACATACGTTTCGTCATTTTTAATCGTAGTTAAGTATTTATTATTTAATTTTTCGGGGAAGATGGAGCTTGTAGGTACCGAAATAAATACAGCAAACTCGCAAGAACTGAAAATACTCACAATTTTGAAATTAGTTTAAAAAAGTTTAAGTACGAAAATTCTAAAACGTGATAGACGTTTTCGTTAATTTGCCACATATTCAAATTTTTATTATTTAACTCCGTTAATATCAAGAAACGTATCTTGTTAGTATTACAACATACTACTACTAAATACTTGTAAATTCCAAAATCCTACATTTTACGGATGTTATTCGCGATATAAATCAGGACACAATTCCTTGCCGATAAATTTTCTGGTTAAAAAGCTTTTTCTTTTTCTTCACGATAATTTTATTTCTCCTCTTCCTCGAGTCATTAATCGCCAAATAATTGAGGTGCACCTCTTTACCTCGAAAAGGTTGACCTCGTAAATTATGCAGGGTTTAAAAGGCGTCTTGAAATATATCTGGCGATTTCTCGTTGTTTCCGTGAAGAGCTGAGATGTTCCGTTTCTTCTGCAAACACGTTCTCTTGACCCTCGTTCCTGAAAATGCCTCATTTTTCATTCTGTCGCCGAAATTCGAGGACGAACTCGAGATGCATCTTCTTATCGCGAAGTGAAGTCTGCACTCGGCATTGCGCAAATTTCTTGAAGGTTCCTTAAAACGCTGATAGCACCGGCAAAGTGCCTTAAGTACCTTTCCAAGTAAGCCGGACAGTCAATTTTACAGAATCCTAATTAAAGCGGTCCGATCGCGCTTCGTCATAATCGGAACAAAAAAAGAGCAGCGATCGCCAAGGCTGAGTTGTCATTGGTCACTCTTGACAGACCTCGAAGACGTTCCCGATGAGAGGTCACCCTTGACGTGAAGAAAGATCTTGGAGGTGGTCCTGAAGAAGAATCCCTTTTAAAGTGAAAAAATATCTCTCTTGGTAGACCTCGAAGACTTTCGTACTTGACGTGACAAAAGATCTTGAAGGTATTCCTGAAGGGAATCGCTTTAAAATTGAATAAGATCACTCTTGACAGACTTCGAAGACGTTCCTGAAGAGAGGTCGCTCTCATGAGAAACAGTCACTCTTGACAGACCTCGAAGATGTTTCGAAAGAGACGTCGCTTTTGCCATTAAAATCGGTCACTTTTAACAGATGTAGAAAAGATTCCTGAAACAAGATCTACCTTGATAAATTCTCAGAAACATTCCTGAAGGAAAGTCACATTTGTCAGACCTCAAAACCTTTTCTGAATCAACATTACTATCATACAACAACGTTACTATCAGACAGGAGGTCGCTTTTAACATTATTTCTACTACGATTTTGTGTATACCTATTTCGACCAAAAGGTTTTGATGAGCTGGAGGAAAATGATACCGCTAAATAAATTTAACAATTATTATACGAAAACTCAAAACATTAATTGAGAAAAAATTATTAAACTTCAAAAATAATTTCAAGTTAAAATTTTAAAAAGTGTCTTTTGACACGTTTGGTAGAAATAGTGTTAAAGATATCGTAAAATGTTAAATTCTGACAATTAATGTTATTAGAAATTTTCATGGAAATTTTACGAATTCTCTCCGCTGATGACTTAAACGGCCGCCAGGTAAGTTATCCAGGTTTATCCGAAACCGGTACCTGGACAAGTCAAGGAACCGGTAGGTTCACGTAGAATTACTCCACCCGGTAGCAAAAACCGTGGTTTATCCAGGAGCCAGTACGTACGTTTGTCTCGGGTACTAGCCAGGAACCTAGGGAATAAATTTCGCCGTTATCGAATGTGTCCTCTTTATTCAGGCCCAAGTACGTACCTACGCACTTTACTTCCGCCGCTTATCGGTAGACAAACCGATATAACTCGATGTGCCGCCTATTATTTAGCGACCTCGATGGACCAATGCCGGAGCGAATATCTTGCCGATATTCGCCTAAAAAACTGTCTTGTATCAAGAATTTCCTATAGGATAAGCTGCAGCAAATTCACGGCCTCCTATGATATGTAAAATGGTCCTCGTGGCAGACATATTGAAATGGGAAAAGCAACATCGGGAAGACTAGAAATATTACACCCGAACACTGAGATTATACTCGCAACTCCTGACTCCACGAATCGACATTTATTCGACTGCATCTAATTCTACGTGCAATTTTCGATGCAAATTCCAGAGACTTGCATGGTACCGCAATGCAGCTTTTATCACATTCCGGAGGAGACAACTATTATCAGTAGTTATAAATTAAGAGACATCGTTCCGTGCGTATGTCCGCAATTACTCCGTCATTAACCATTTCTGTTGGATTTTTTACGTCGGCCGACAATTAGTGCAATGGAGCTAGTAATCGATATAATAATTGTAATTACCATTACCGTGGCCAGCAGCGCCGTCATTAAAACAGTCGCAATAATTCTTTCTTCTCCATCGAGGTATTATTAAATTATCTGTCCCACTTTGTGGCATGTACTCTAAAGGATAGAGTTGCTTCTCGCGAGCAGAGATATTAAAAACGTGTATTGGGGTTGATTTCGATTCTCCCGTTTCCTCACATTAGGTACATAATACATCTGGTGCATCGACAGGGCACATCAAATATGGACAGGTACCTTATGTACTAACAAATATTTAGTTCAATATATCCTTAATTACTTTGCGGGATGATGCATCGAGGGTACCTGGACGAATATGCACTTTACTATGACTTGATACCCTAGCAAGTACATAGTTGTATACACATCTATCAGATACTTTGTAACACAAGTACTCGATAAATTATGCATTTGATGGTCACCTGGAGATAAACCAACATACACCAGCTCCAATTCAAACCTGACAATTTTGTTTAAAGAACCATCAGGTACTTCATCCAATCGGTCCTTGAAAATTACCTGATGCATCGGTAGAATATACATCTACTCGAATTCATGTCGAGACAAAATTTTTTAGTACCACCGGGTATCTTTTGAAATCTGTATCTGAAGGTTACCTGCTAATGCACAAATATGCATCTCTTAATTATCCGAAGATAAACTGCATATACTAGCTCCAATCCATGTCTGACAATTTTTTGGTAGAGCTGCATCGGGTACTTCTTCAAATCTGAACCCAAAGGTTACCTGATGCGCCGGTAGAAAATTCATCTAATAGTAACCTGATGCACCAGCACATTTTTAGTCCAATCTGTACTGAATGATTACCTGATATTGGTCACATATCTACCCGATTACCCGATGCACTAATCTGTACTTGTTAGTACTTGGGCGAATCTGCATTTATTTGCCGATGCACCAGTACTTGGTCGAAAATGCACCCTGCTGTTACGAGACCCAGGGAGCAGACAATCATGAGAGACTCCCAGCCTTAAACAATGACCCTACCAGGTTCCACTTCGGCCCTGACTGGCGCAAACGGCGATATCCCGCGATGACATTACCTGCGCCGAATGCAACTGCACTGAAGTAGGCACCTGTTGCATCCGTTATGTGAAATCGTCCATTCATACGCGCGAGCCGCGATGCGCTCGCCGTGGCCTTTCGAGTCATTCAGAAAATCTTAACTCGCCCCGGCGTTTAAATTGACTCCGACTTTTCAAAGCCTCGCTGATATTTCACCGATCTGACAGGAGAGAGCTCCGTGTTCCGGATCCCCTTTCTTAAATCATCCTGGAAAATTGTCCGATTACTGTTAACGCCTTTTTATTCCTAGGCGTAATCGTTTCGGTGATTGACGTAAAGAGCAATATCCCGAGATGGCATTGCCTTCCCGATGTCGAAGGCTATCTCGGAAAAGTAGACACCTGTTGCATCGGCTTCGTTAAATCGGCTATTCGTGACCCTTTTCTAATCATTAAGGCCGTAAATCCGACATTTTATAATTAATAAGGATTTTTCTGGTACATGCACTCGATTTTCAATATGGCGGCGGAGACCACGTGGGGCAACTATGCGTAGAGACTAACAATATGTTTCCTAACCTATAATTAATGCACTTGGA